CGCTTTGAACTTGTAATCCTCCTGCCTCAGCCTCCCAAATTGCTGGGATTATAGGAATGCACCACCACGCCTGGCAAAAAGGGAATTTCCTTTAAATCTAAGACAGATAATACAAACCACCCAAAGAAAACAAAACCAATATTTAAGAACATACTTTTTAGCACTACAGCCTTGTAATATTTTTCTTTAGGTAATTGCACTTAATTGTTATAAATTTAAATATGTTGCACTTCTTGATAGTCACCCTGGCTCTTGAACTGTCAGATAGTGAGATGAAATAAGCTGTTGATGAAACAAAGGAGTCACATAAATGTTTTTTAATCAAAATTGCATTTACATATAATTATAGTCACTTTTTCAATTTATACTTATACATTTATTTGATAACATCTACCAAGAGGTTCTTGTGGACTACAAACCAGAGTTGACATGTTAAGGATATATGTAACATGATTTATGAATAAAGATTTGACCAAATTGTGGAATAAGAATGTATCTTTGATATTTTTAAAAACAGTTTAATATTCTAAAGGTAGATATGTAATTTCCTTCAAATTCATTCATTCAATAAATGTTTGAGTGCCAACTTGTGCCAAATACTATTCTAGTTCCTAGAAAACAGTGATTATCAGGACACACATAATCCCTGCCCTTAAAAATGATCACACTCTGGTGGGAGAGACTGATTTTAAAACTCAACACATGAATAAAATATTTATAAATTATGTTATGAAGGAAATATACAAGTTGCAAACTAGGATTTGGTGCTGGGAAGAAGTTTCTACAGGGTAAAGCTATGTGAAAAATGGAAGAGGTAAGGTATGTTTTCTCCCTGTCTTGTCACCCCCTTGTCAAAGTGAAAATTTAACTCACCAACTGGATACAGTGGCAAAAGAATATGGGTATTCCATTTCCCTGGTAGTATATTTTCATGTGCAGTGCAATTATGGCAAAGAACACAAATATACGCATCCTATAATTACTACCAAAATACTGTGGAGAAAATCTTGAATTACTGCAATTTATATAAGGGTTCCTTCCCATGAGTGGATTTCATTGTAAGTTTTAGTGCCAGGACCATAGCTCCAGAAGCATGAAACAGAACCCCAATCCTAGCATGTAAACAACCTTGACTTCCCTGAGTGAGTTGAATACACTATGATCTGCAAATGAGAAAGGAGCATGTGATGTTAAAGAAAGGAAAGGTGTACAAGGTGGTCTAACTCAGAGCAGCCATTGAGACTTTTGCCACTCCAAAATCTGAGATCCATCACCTTCCTGTGTTCAAGAATCTCACTCCTGGGGAGAGAGGGTAACCCAAATATAAACTATCAGAAGGCTCAACCACTAGAGGGAGAAAGTGTGCCTCTGGTGACTAGGGAGCCAATGAAAGCAACTCATTAAAAGGAGAGGCTTCAAGGGAGCTAAATTAAGCTCTAATCAGTCAGGGGTAAGACCTATATCAACCATGGAAGCCTTGGGAAACTTCATGATGAACCCATAAGACTTTACAATTGATTCTCTTCTACCAAAGAATTCAGTTGCTTAAACTATCAAGATATTTCACCTTTGAATGTTTTAATTCATGGTTTCTAAGCACCTCTTTAACTTTGCACATACTTACAATACTTAAGCTTAGTTTCCAGGAGGAATGACAATATAGAGAAGCTATGTGACCCTTTATATAGTGGCCATTTACATATTATGAACAAAATTCCAATTTTCTCAGTTAATTTAAGATTAAAATCTTTGCTATCCATTGGGATGATTAAAATGATTTGTGGGTTCTGTTTAGTCTCTCCTAAATATGACTTTAGAAAAATTAATTTTATTTTGATCACTGGAAGATAGGTAAAAAAAATTGCTTTACCAATATGTAATTCACAGGCACAGTAACTATCTTAAAATCATTAGAAAGTTGTTCCAAGCTTGAGCCCAAATGATTTCTCTCCAATCTTGTTTGCTGTATGGCATCATAATTTTCCCCACTCCCCCCATCCAAATAAAGGGAAATAAAAGGGAAAAAAGTGATTCTATTGGCAGTTGATCAATAAATAAATACAATATATGGAATAAATCTCAAAAGGAGTTCATTAAAAAAACTTAACTACAGTATTACTCAAGTTATACAGTATCCATTATTTAGACAGTCTCATTGTGAATGAATTCTTCCCTCACACGAAAAATCTAAAGAAGACATTTCCCCAAATTTCCCAGACATACACAGTGGTGCTTAAGATAAAGTTGATAATTTTATTTTCTATGTGTCATTTCTCTTTCCTCGGGGGGGGGGGGGGGGGGGGGGGGAAACCCTCAGCAACTATTTCTGGGATTCTTAAAAGGAGTAGGAGGAGTGGAGTACGGTGCTGCATTGATTTTCTTCACAATCTGTGATATGGTTTCTCAGAAATGCTGTTTGGCAGTCCTGATAATTTCATGTGTTTTCAAACTTAACCCACCCAGACTACACAGTTCAGTATTTTCAGCTCCTTTCATTTTCCTTTTCCCCTTTAATTATAGATGTCTCCATTCCCTCTTTTTTGCAAATGTGGTTAAGAAAGATACTAAATGCTACTATTGTAGAAAGAACATACATTTGTTATTCTCATGACGATTTCTAGAAATTCTTCCAAAATACAGAGGCTGTGATCGATGCTTTTTGCTGGGCAACACTTGAAGGGTTACTTTTTTGGACCCTCATTCGTCCCTCTGACTTGGATGAATGTGGCACTTGCCAGGGGGGAGAAAAAGCAAGTAAACACTCTAATTTTAAACTTGCACTGTAAAGCACTTTCAAAATAGTCATAGTTGAGCTTCATCTCAGACCTGAATTTCTGCCTGGGTCCATTCCCGAGGGCCCCCTCTATTCTGCTCGGTGTCCTGGTCTACCAGGTGCCGTTTTGTGAAACTGCACCGTAGACTTGACTGCGAAGGCCGGGCGAGCTGGTGGGTGGGTCCAGGCGCACACCCCGGCTCGGACCAGCACGCCGATCCCGGAGCTCCGCGTCCTGCGCCGCGACTGCCGTCCCGCTCCAGTCGCCCGGCCTCTCCACGAATCCCAGTTTGAAAGAAAACTTCACGCGGCCGAGATGAACCTCCCTGCACCGTTCCAATCCTTCCTTCCCGGCGGGACGAAAACGTGAGATTTATTAGGAACCTGGGGGTGTGCGTGTCTGTGTGTGTGGGGGGGGGGCCGCCGCCGCACAGCCGGAGCAGGTTACCTGCCCTCCCCCGCACGGGGGCGGGGTCCGCCGCGGCAGCTGGCGGGCGGGGGGCGACGCGGCCGGGCGCGCGGGTGGGCGCGAAGGAGTGCGCGCGTCGCGGAGCCGCCGGGGCAGCACTTGTCCTGTAATCGATTGCCGAGCGCGCCGAGCGGCTGAGCGCGCCGACACGCGCACACGCGCCCGCCAGCCGGAGAGCACACACACGCGCGCACACACTCACACTCGCACCGGCGCTCGGGTCCCGCACACACGCACGCCCGCGCGCGCGCACGCACGCCCGCGCCCGGGGCCCAGCCGCCCGCCGCCCGCCGCCGCCGCCGCCGCCGCCAGCCCTCCCTCCGCCCGCGGGCGTCTGCGCGAGCCCGGCCGGCTGGGGAGATGTGCTCGGGCTCCGCCGGATCGGTTTCTCGGGGTTTGACCAGCTGTCCCGGGCTAACCCTGCTCCTCGCTGAAGATGGAGGAAGTAAAAACAGGATTACCCTTAGCTACAGATCCACTGCCTTAGTTTCCACCACCAACTGCAGTGCACAAACACACGTTAGGCACAGGAAAGAAAGAAAGAGAGAGGACACACTAACAGTAAACACAAACAAAAGGGTGATGGGATTATTTTACTGCATGCACTGCTGAGGTAAATCTCCGCTTGGCTTTTGCGTGGGGAAGAAGAGCTCTTGTTTTATTTGTCTTCTGATTCATAGATTATATATGAATTTGTGTATGATTTGCAAAGGGGGGAGTGTTTTCAAAGTTAAGTGTAATTATATAGCATCTCGTTTTGCACTGTGATCAAATGACTTGTTGCTGTTAACCAGTGATAATAATAATATAGGTGTTTTTCTCTGGGAGGGATGGATTGTGGTTATGATTAGGGTAATGATTTCTGTTAAGGACGCTCAGGAAATCGGGTTGAAGATGATGTCCTCTGCCTTAATTTATCTTCCCCTCCTTGTAATCTGTTTCTGGGATGTTAATCGATTAATCAGTTCTCATCTCTATAGCTGTCACGGATTTGGACTTGTTTTGCTTTGTTTTAACTTGAATTCTAAGAAGAAAGATTGGATAGACTGGAATAAATTGCAGCTGTCCAGATAAGGTAATATCCAGATCCTGTTGGGATTGAAAAAAACAAACAAAACAAAACAAAACAAAAAAACTGGTATGACACATGTAAAAAGGCAGCAGTTAAATCACTTTGACAGGTTCTGGTATGGGCGAAAGAGATGGAATTAAGATTTATTTTCTCTCTCTCTCTCTCTCCTCTCTCTTTCTCTCTCTGTCTCTCTCTTTGCCAAAGGCCAAAAACAGTCCTGTGAAGTTGGCCTGGGTTCCTTGCTGGGTTATGCCTGACTGTCCCTCCCCTCTTACCCCCCCCTCCCCTTTTTTTCTTTCAGTTTTCTTGTCTTAGCTTTTGGTCGATTCTTAAGGAACCGGTGGATCAAGTTTTTTCTCTTCTTGTTAATCGCATTGCTGTAGCACTGACTGACCTCTCTCTCTCTCTCCCTCTCCCTCTCTCTCTCTCTTTTTTTCCTCTTTCCTGAAAGTACGTGGTGCCATTCCTGAGTGACTTTTCCTACTAGACCATCCCAAAGGGACGAGGGGGAGGGGTGGAAGAAGAAGGAGGAGGAGGAGGAGGAGAAGGGGGGTGTTCCTTCTCTCTCATTTCTTGGTTTTGTTTATCTGCCGATCTGTTTGCTGGATTTGGGCTTGGAATGACCCACCTGTAAAGTGCTTTTCCTTCCTCCTCGCCTTGAACTCTGCAGGGGGCTTGGCTTGGAGGGGGCCAGAGAGGGAAAGAGAGAAGGGGGAAACACAAAAAACTTCTTTCTTTCTCTCCGTTTATCTTCAGCCCGACATTGTCACCTCCTCTTTGAGGGGTTAGAAGAAGCTGAGATCTCCCGACAGAGCTGGAAATGGTGATGAATCTTTTTTAATCAAAGGACAATTTCTTTTGTATGTACATTTCGTTTCTCTTTCTCCTTTTTCTTTATTTTCTTCTCTGAGGGTTAGTAACCATTTCATTGATGGGGCAGACTTCTTTCACTTCTCCCTGACGTTTTTTTCTTTTTAATATGTGTATGTTAAATGTGTACGTTTTTAAAGAGATAAACTCATTTGTTAAATATCCGAAGAAACTGCTCCCCTTTTGAACTTCCCGGATCCCTTTCCTTAAAGCCTTATGTAATCATAATTTGAAAGAATTTGATAACAGGACAGCAGGTTGAAATTTAAGTGCTATGTAGTTTCAGAGTTGGGAATTTGATCTGATTATTCCATAAAGAAAGAAAGAAAAGTTTTTTTTGGTGGGGGGGCGGGTAGGGAGGGTGATGGTGAAGCAGGGGAGGGGAGGGAGAAGGGAAGTGGTTTTGGAGACAAGAAGTGAAGCTGCCTGTTTTCCAGTAAGTAATGGAGAAATTCCAGGAGCCAGGGCTAAATATACTTGGCGATCAATACAGAAATGGCTCATTGTGAATAATTTAGCTGCTGGTGCAGTGAGAGTTTTGAAACTAACGGCAAAAAGGACCAGGGCCAAAAGAAAAAAAAAATAAGTAAAAATCTCTTCAGGACTTGTCAATTCTTAAACTTTTTCCTTCAAAGAATACAGTTAGATTATTGATCTTTTCATTATGTGAATCAAAGCTAGGGGGTGTCATCTCATATAATTTATTTTTGTTTCTGTGAGTTAAGTTCTGTCTTGTGTCATTGGTGCATGAAAATAATTCCCCAAACTGGAAAAAAGTGATTCCTTTCTGCATAGCCAAAAGTTTCTGAAATTCTTGAAATCAGAATGTATTAAGTAGACTTGGCATTTGTATCCAACCATGGTCTGGCAGGAAATTAAGGTTACATTGAACAGGTGCTTACACAGAACTTGGGGTAGGCTAAAATGTCAATACAAGTCAGAGAGTTGGCCAAGTGCTGCAGAAGTCTTCAAGACACAGTTGGGCAGGAAGTTTTTTGTTTTGTTTTGTTTTCTTATGGTTGTTTGTCCTCCCCCTCCCAATTAGAACATGATGAACCAACTTGCAACAATTGTGAATAGAGCTATCTGTATACTGGGGAAGTCCTCAAACTGCAGTGTGATTGTGGGAAGTAGTGAATGGCAAAGAACTTAAGTCCCAGTTGTAGCTGGCAAATTTGAGGTGTATTTCCCTCATTTTTTTTTGTTAAAACAAATAAATTTTTATTAAAAAGAGCCACTCTTTTCTTGCTACAGCCCATCTCACAGCACACTTATCTTTCCTGTCCTATCTCCAGTAGGAATCAGATCATTTGCAGAAGGAGTTCAGTGACTTGCAAATGAGCACATACAGTACACTGTAGTATGTTTCTTGGGCACAGGTTGAAGCAGCAACATGGTCTAACTGCTTGGAGCTTCAAATAAGAATTTAATGGCAGATAGCGAAAGGAATCACTGTGTTTAAGGGTATAATTTCTTGTTTTACAGCATTGCACTTTGACTATGGAAACAGAGGCTATTGATGGCTATATAACGTGTAAGTATTCATTTTTCACTAATTTGTTACTGATGATAAAGTTACCTTTGTATATTACTTGGGATATAATTAAGAATTCTGTTCTCTTATTTTTTTTTCACAATTTTCCTTTAAATGAGTTTGAGAAATAGCATAGAAACGAGATATATCAGAAATATAGAAGTATACCTACTACTTACTAAATTAAGGATAGTATTTAAGTCAGTCACAGCTTAGCAGATCAACACTTTTCTACTTGATTTTTTCCCCCATTTACTTTTAAGTTTAAAATAGGTTAGGTTATTTACGTATGTACTAGTATGCTGTGTACTAAATATTTACTACTCTGTAGCCTAATTTTTCTGGACACATAATGTGAAAGAAATCAGCTTCTTTTAAGTTGACATTTTTTTTTAGCAAACTCTTTTTTCAGACATTTAACTTTGTAACAGGCAGCATTTTGGAAAATGCTTATAATACATTCTTTATGTTTAATAATTAAATTAAATGTTAAAACTTATCTTTTTTCAAGGAAAAGATACTTTAGAAGTCAACTACTTCATTTCCCCTTATTTGATGTGTAAGAGCATTGTGATAATAAAGTTTCGTTAATTTTTTTATTGTGGGCTGATTGTGGCTTTTCGTCATTTCATTCATTGACTATGTTTCTAAAAGATATTTCCTTATAGTTTCTTTTAAGGGAGAAATGTACTGCTTAAAAATTCAAGACTATGCATTTCACTGTGTATATGAAGCAAAGTTAGTAATTAGATTTTTTGTGACAATGAACAGAGACCAAAAGATTTTATTTTTGAAAACAGGTGACAATGAGCTTTCACCTGAAAGGGAGCACTCCAATATGGCAATTGACCTCACCTCAAGCACACCCAATGGACAGCATGCCTCACCAAGTCACATGACAAGCAGTAAGTCTTCATTTTATGATTTTTTTTTCTGTTTCTCAAGTGACAGATTTGAATTTGTTAGGTCTGTGGGGTCTGCTCACATTGTGGTGTTGCTGCTGCTGTAGATTTTGCTAAAGAAAGAACAACATAGATTTATTCCTGTTCATTCTAGTATCATAAAACATGAGCCTGCTTACTAGTCTGAACTATCCCAAGGTGGCATTTGGGAGCTGGTGCTTACCTGTATCAGGTAAGAAATGTTAGAATCTGCTGATTAGTGTTTTGACTTGGTGAATTTCTATCTGGATTTGTTATTGTTGTTGTTGTTGTTGGATTAAAAAAAAATATGGAAACATGTCACTTCCAAAGGACTTTTCCATTGGAAAAGGACTCTTGCAGCATATTTAAAAAATAGCATTATTTTATGTTATCATGGTACAAAGCTAAACCATTGTATTATTTCTTGCTTAAAAGAGAAGGTGGTGGGGGGGGGGGGGAGAGAGAGAGAGAGAGAAGAAAATGTTAAAGTTTCTCCTCCAAAGCATTGTAAGTGAAGTATAATTGAAATTTATCAAACTCATTTATATTCATTTCTCTAACAAAGTTGAAAGCATTTGTTTCAGATTGTCCAGGAGAGAGTTGTGAAAATTTGGAAGGATGTTTTGAATTTGTAGGAATAGACAGTTTTGGCTGCTATTTTGATAAAGGGTCATTCGTTGATGTAGTATACTATGTTTCAGTGTAGTAAAAAAGCAACTTACATGCAGTCAGTGACACAAGACAAAATATTTACAGTTATTAAGAATATGGTTTATCTTCTCTTAATGTTTTATCAGCAAATCAACTGCCAGTACTCTGTTATTCCTACTCAAAAGTAATTTGAAATCTTGTTTTCTTTATACTTTTGTATTATCTTCCTATATGGAAATGACAGGATTTATATGTAAATATAATTTAAATGGCGAGTTTTCTGTTGATGCTATGTGAAGGAAGGGCATTTCTTTTCTTTTGTGAAGACTAAATTGAAGAAAACCGAATCATCTATTTAATTTTAAGCATATACTTAATTCTAATTACCCGAGAGAAATTTTCCTTTCCACTTGCCTCTTATAGCCTTTTAAACTTAAGTTATTTTAAAGTTACAAGCTTTGTAACTAGTTAAGCTTACTGAATTATAAGCAAACGTATTTAGATTACTCTTGAATACATTTTGCAATTCATTAACTTTAAGCGATCTTGGATTGAAATATTTGAATTTACTGTATTTAAAAGTTTTCTTCTTTAATAATGGAGGAGTTACTCAGAAAATTTCATCATTCTAGCAGTCCTTGAAATTCCTTTACTGTGTAGAAAGGAAGAACTAAGAAAGTTATTGAGTGCATATGTACTAAATTATATTGCTGATTTCTTATATTATGTCTTGCAGCATTAATTTGTGTTTTCTGTGTTGATTTGATAAAGGTTATTCTCTGTAGCAATGTAGGCAATAAGAGTTTTTACATTTAATATTTAATTGTTGTTGTTGTTGGATTAGTAGTTCTTTGGCAGGATATGTTTTTATTTCACAGAAACTTTCTACATGATTTCCTAAAGAGTTAAGACAGGTTTGCATTACAGTTTCTTTTTATTAAGTATTTAACTATTGGATTTAGAAATATTGAATATATGGAGTAGAGAGTAACTATTAATCAGACTTGACTGTCTTACACTGGTCACCACCAGAATATCTGCAAGAAAATGTTGGTTAATTAGTTAATTAGCCCCTTCATTTGTGAATTTGATTCAGCTTTTGCAGGTACTTGCTTCAAAAAGGCAGTTCACTCATCTTTTAAAATAAATAGTACGGAGTATAGGCATGATTAATTTGAACAAGTAAGAAGTGTGCTTTTGACATTCAAGCTTTTCTCACCCAACAGTAAACTTATGTTTGGTAAAGAGTTTCTTGTGGTGTTGTGTTTTTTTTTTTTTTTAACTTTCTAGCCTGGGGCAATTCCATGTTAGTACAGTTTTTGGCTGAACTGCACATGTTTTCAGGTTCTTTTCCAAAGAGTTGCAGGTTAAATATTTTGGCTTTCACTTCAGAGCTGTCTGTGCATCCTTTATGTAGCCTCTATTTACAGTATCTAGGTTACCCACTTAGGTGTTAGATGGAGAAGATACCCATTTTTCCTCTCTTAGATCTAGGAGAATATCAACATTTTAGATTGCCAAAGTAAATAGGGGTAGAGAGGAACTCTTGACCATTAATTAGAACAGGGAGCGAGAATTGGTCACTCGGTTGCTTTTCTGTGACTTAAAATACTTTTTGGGTATGAGACCTGTCAAATCACTTGTATCTGAGATCACTAGTTTTCTATATCCCTTTACACACACTGTTGATTTTGTTAAATGAAAATAGCTTATTTTCCTAATTTTTTGAATCTTCAAATATACTTCTAAAGGACTGCTGCTTCCTAAAACAGAATAAGTAAATGCAGAAAACTTTATGATAGAATAAGAGAGTCTCTAGTAGCAAGGAAGAGAGGTCTGTATGTAATGGGGAAAGGAGGAAAAGTTATTTTTAAATATTTTAGAAAAAATAAAAGAAGTAAAACCTTTGACTTTTATAAACCAACTAACATTCTGGCCATAAAGTATTAATAAGATGTGATAGATAACTTATTTGGCTTTAGGAAAGTGGTCAGTATCACTATAGGGTCCTAGTCATTTGTTCAGGGTATTTGGTGACTATTCCAAGATGAAGGGTATCTGTACAACTTGCTGCCAGCTATTGTATAAAAAATAATGACAGCAGCTATCATTATTTGACAGTGCTAGAATAGAGTACTGGCGGCTTGGGAGAGAACTAAAAATGTGATAATGCCTGACATTTTTTAGTTTTAAATTTCAGCGTATAAGATAACCTTGAAAAGAAGTAAGAGGTATTAGTGATCCTAACATTCTATAATGACTACTTCCTATGTTTTAGACTGAATTTTCATGGTGAACTTTTTAGACTTTTTATTCTGGAATAAGGATCTCTTTGATAAGAGGATGGGCACTGTTGCCTGGGATCATTAGTGTACATACTGAGTCTGCTGACAATCTTCCATGTCAGGGATGACAGAATATGCCTTGATGGCTACTGGAAATACACAATGTTAAGTGATTTTTAAAAATAGAATCTGGAAGTTAAGAATCTGAGATAGACAACTCAGACAGAACAATATAAAAATAATCCATATTGTGTTTTGGTCCATCAGATGAAACTTTGTGATTCCTTCTGATTCTGGGTTAGCTTATTTCCAATTCTTGCATAGTTGCTTTACTATCAGTTTTAAACTGTTCAATACTTACAGCTGACTATGTTGAAAAAAATTTAAGGCTCAAAAATTATAATTTTTTAAATAATGCAAATATGTAAATGTTTTGTAGATAATTACTTAAATGATGTATGAAAATATATTGACAATTTGTTTCTCTTACTTTAAAACCTTTAGGTGGATCAACTACATAGTCACTACTATTTATCAGTCAGTTTGATGGCCTGGTGGCATGTATGGAATTGGAAGAAGTAGTAATTCCAGCGTTACAAGGCTCTGACCATTAATCAGGTCAGGGAATCTAGTTTATTCTTTTCATAGTGCTTCACATTCATTTTTTTTCTTAGTTTCCATTTTTAGAACCTAGTGAAGCAGAAGTATATTATGATTTCTATTTTTCATATGTGGAAATTGAGGCTTGAAGAAATCAATTGACCTGTTAGGTTGCTTAGCAGAAAGATAAAATTCTCAGGGTTGGGACATAAAGTGGGATATAACTTTGTGGGTAGGTAGATAATTGGTATCTGTCTCTATCATCTTATCCTCTCAGGTTGTCTGCCATGTCCAATACTGAACCATGTTTTAGTGACAAAAAGAGTATTACAGAAATAGAAGAGTGTTATTATGAGGGTGGAGCAACATCAGATAATCTTGTCAAGCCAGTGTTCTAATGTGCTTTTTAAAATATAGCTTATATTATGGGATTCACCAGCTTTCTGAGTTGTCTTCTATAGCTTAGTTTGGCAGTCACCCTTGGTTGGATTTTCATAGGGCACACCCAAATATGACACCAGCTGGGCTTGATGTAAAATCTAGCTCTGTTTGGAATTGTAGTGCTTTGGTTTGTGTATATGCCTAATGTACTTTACATTTAGTTCTTATTTGTTAAAACTTTTAACAAAAGCCAAAAAGAAATTTGATTTAATTTCTTTATACCTATCAGAGATAAATATCTGACTGCATTTCTAAAGAAAAAAGAAAACTAAAAGAAACATATATTTGCAGGTAATTAACAGAAAAAGTGTTGTTGTTGTTATTATTATTATTATTATTATTATTATTTTGCTTTGTAACTCATTCTACCTCGACCACTCCATATTTTTAGACTGCTTAGAGTTGAAGATTAAGGTTTGTCTTTGAAAAACAAAAATGCTTACTGTAGAAGGGTTGTCCTTATTGCCTTTATCTTTGTTCAAATCTGTCTTTTTCTTTGGAAGTGCTTTTGTTAATATGTAACATGATCGATTATGTTCCATTGGGAGTCTTCCAGGAAGCCATAATGAATTAAGATCTCTGGGTTCCTTGCTCATCTCTCCTAACTTTTGATACATTGATATATTCTGAATATTGATGTATTTTGATCTATGGTTTTCTGAAAGATCAATATAGCAGTGTCACAGTTCAAACCCAAGGTAGCGTATGTTGCTTT